GGCCTTGCCAGCACTTGAGATAAGAAAGTCTCACACTTACCAGGGTGCAGGGGGCATGAAAAAAAAAAAAAAACAGGAAAACTGACAGAGGAAAGGGGCAGGGATATGGATATAGGAACCGTGGACTGAACGGGAGGAGCAGGTTTCTTGGAAGACAGACAGGACTTGCCATTCACCGGGAGGAACAAAATTATCAATGAGCAGTTGTCTGATGGAGCTTAGGCAATCTTCTATGAAAACTCAATTTTCAACTCCCCAGTTAAGCAGTATAAATTTCTGAAGCAGTAGAGAAATCTAACATTTTATCTCACCACAATTCAACTGTAAAAGATCTGCCTTGAAAATGAGTTTGACCACCTCACACTAAATCCTTGTGCGTGAGCCACAGGAGCTCAGAATCAACATCTAAAACGACAATGCCATGCTTGTGTGTGCATGGGGGGTGGTGGGGGGAGGGAGGAAAAGGGGAGAGGGCAAGGGAGACGATCCGTTTTGAGGTTATTATTGTTTATTGATACATTCAGGGAGATAAAACAGAAATTTATATCCATTTTCTGTCTTGGTTTGTTTTGTGCTTCTCTAACAAAACACCCGAGAATGAATACTTTCTGAAGGACACAGAGTCATTTCCTACAGTTCTAGGGGCTGTGAAACCCAAGGTCAACGATCTCACATTAGGTGAGGATCTCCTTGCTGTGTCAGGGTAAGAGAGTGGGAGAATATGTTTCCACGCGGTTTATAGGTTTCTATACATTTTTTTCTTCTTCAAAATTGTTTTTCATGATATAGTTCCATAGGCACAGGGATTTCCCCTCACCCCCCGACTCCTCTCTCCTCCCAACTGTTTTACCAATATCATTATAATAGCACAGTTCTTCAACAAGAGTTACAAGTGCAACATTCTGCTGTTTAGTGTATCACGGCCGTGTAGCATAGACCATGCAGAGGGAGAAACTGACAGAGAGGACAAGAGGACCAAATCCACTTTTATAACAACTTGTGCTTGAAATAACCCACTTCTGCTGTCATGGCAAGAATCCGTTCCCCAAGACAGAGGCCTCTTAATCTCATTATTGTTAGATTCGCCACTGGCCAAAATGTTAGATTCGCTGACCACCAGGGAAACAATAACTCAGCCGAATACATGAGAAGAATCTTGATGGCCTTTATTTCAGGGAACCACGGTCATGGGCTTCCCTTCCCCAGGCAGCACAAAGACAGAAGTGAAGGAGTGAGCTGCAGAGGACGAAGAGCATAAAAGAGAGGCAGGGGTGGGGGTGGGACGACTTTTTAAAACGCCTTGATACAGAAGCTGAAACGGGGTCGCCTAGGCCCTTATTGGTGGGGAGATGTGGGTCTGTGCCCCTCATTGGTGCAACGGTGGTCTCACTGCCTGAGGGGCCCGCCAGAATTCCCATCCCTTCCGGGTTTGGTTGGAGGCAAACTCTGCCCTTCCCCAGTTACCCGTGGTAGCCATCAGTTACATCTTAAAGGTACTGGGGAGAGGCACCTGTTTCCAACAGAAGAATTTGGTGGGATACAGTCAAGCCGTAGCACTTTCCTCCTTCTGGTACACACTACCATTCCTGGTGCTTTGCAATCATTCCTGCACGCCACATCAGTGCACTGTCACAAGCTTCATCTGCCCAGAAAGTCAGACATCCAGTAGAACTACTCTCGGCTTTGTGTTTCACAGAGGTCTTTTGAAAATATTCTCTTGACGTGAAGTTTCCAGGAGAGATGAGCTCCTTCTTTCCATTGACTGCATGATTAGGATATGTTGAGCTGGAGTAGTCTCATTTCATGTGGGCTGCATCCTTCTACTTTCTCCAACTGTGTGAACTTCTAAGCAAGCAAGAGCCCTGTCTAGAAATATCTCTGCTGATGGATTCTCACTTTTGATTCCTTTCGAGTAAGCTCTTACAGCTGCTTACAAATTAACCTATGTGAGCAGTTCTAGATACTTGTAATTCCCCCGCTGTGGTGGAATGTGTTCTCCAGAGTGCACGTGCTAGATGCTTTAATTGCAAAGCCACAGTGTTCAGAGATGCCCAGGTCTTGAAGGTTCTACCCTCAAGAATGAGATCATACCATCGTGACACTGGGTTCCTGATAAAAGGATGGCTTTGCCCCCGGTGCCAGGTGATATTTTCTGCCATAGAGTGAAGCAGCATGAAGGCCCTGGCCAGAAGTGAGCCTCTTGACCTTGTCCTTCCCAGCCTCCAGAATTGTAGGAAACAAATCTTTGTTCACTGTAACTTGCCTCATTTGACATATTGCCTCATAGTAACACAAAGTGAGCTAACACACTTTCCACCACCTTAAACAATATCTTTCCCTTGTTTGACTTGATGGCACTGCCTCAGTGATTAAGGATCTTTTCCAAACTTCCAAATTATATGATAGTGCACTATTATAGAAATGAACATATTATCTTGTTGCATTTATATTTATTTGATTTACATAGCATTTAACTTAATGGAGTATTTAGTTGTGAAGAAGTCTGGAAGTACTGAGAATCAGCACCTGAGCGGAAGGAGCAGATTTGCAAAGAGTGAACTAGGCAGGGTCTGAAGACCTCTAGACTTCGGCTGATCATACAGATCAATCAGGAAGTTTTCCAGGGAGAACAGAGAGAGAGTTCACGCAGCCAACTGGCAGATGGAAGCCAGACTTCTTTTTTGTGTGTGTGTTCCCAATTTACAGATTGAGACATCAAGTTACTGAAAATTTAAGTATTTTAACATCGCATAGCTGGTAAACTCTTTAATGGATACATAGAATACCTGGGTCTATGGAAACCAATAGAATCCAGGAGGTGAAGTGAAAATTCTGTAGGCACTTGGGAGTACACTGAAGGGAGAATTAAGCAGGGCTTAGGGAAGCCTGCTTCAAAAGAGAGAAGTCTAACATGAAACATCAGCTGACCTCACAGAGGAGGGGCAGAGAGTTATCTGGTCCAGTCATCTGGACAGAGGGACCCGCATGGGAAAGAAGGCCAAAGAAGAGGACAAAGAAGCCAGGTAGGAGGAGAGCTGCAAACAGTTCCCAGAACAGGAGAGAGATGATAAAATGCAAGCTAAAGAGGTAAGTGGATGTCAAACACACACACCAAAAGCTGCGTAAGTCACTCTAAAGAATTTGAACTTTAGTCCCAGAACAATGGGACCTGGGAAGGGGGATTAGGCAGCTGACTCACAGGCTTGGATTTGAGCTTCTGGGATATCACTTGACTGCACTGTGGAGAAAAGCCTGGAATGCCAGAGAGGACTAAGTTTGGGGCAGTAATCTAAGCACGAGCCCACAGTGACCTGTTTGTGAGACATCTGCAAGGATGGAAGACACATGCAGATGCTAGCTTCCACAGGACTTGCTAACTGACTAAAGGTGGAGGCAGTGGTGAGAATAAGGCAGTTCAACATGGAGCTTTTGGATTTGGGGAGCAGTCCAGACATGGTACAGATGGACAATTCGAGATGACTTATGAAGAGTTCAGTACATGGAACTTTGGGTTAACAGAAAATGAATGCTAGCATATTCGTGATTTATCTCACATACGGGTGAAATCTTAGGATGGAACCACCAGTTACACCACCAGCAATCCTCACAGGGGATTCTGAACTGGAAAACCCAAAGCATAACTGTAGCGTATCTTGATCAAGCAAGTAATACCACAATTCCAAACCAAGAGAGCCTCAACTGTAGGTATTTTCCATTAAGGGTTGATGCCAATGGGAGCTGAAATGAGCAGGATAGGGTATCTTCTACAAAACAAGGTACATCAGCTTCCCTTGTACGTAGCAGCTGTTACATACGGGCATATCAGTGGGCCTTAGTCTCAACTCCACAATCTCTCTCCACTCCGTCACCGACAGCTCCAGCAGCCTCAAACACAGGAAATCTTGGGCAGACAACAAGCAATAAAAAAAATGTATAGAAGTGGAAGCCTAAAATAAGCTTCCAGAGTTTGTTTTTGTATCCTTTGCCACAGTGGGCCAGCTTCCAGCTGCAGGAGCTGGAAAATGTTAACTCCCGATGTCCTGCCACCTCCTGACTTCTCTGCGTGGACTTCCTCACTGGGAGCAGCGCGTACACAGATGACCGCTAAAGTCTCCATCGTTTCAACAGCCCGTGGTCCGAATCATCTGCAAGAGCAATGCCAGGGCGGATCTCTGACCGGCAAAGTCCTATGTAGCCTGATCCCAGCCCCATCCTTTTGAGGCTAGTGTGCCTGGGTGCCTTCTCTGTCCAGAGCTGTCATTCCCAGGGGTGGGACCAAGGTGTGTCTATGACATCTTTCCTCCCAAGTTTTCATTTTACTTTGAAATGTTACTGTGACTGTTTTCATTATTCCTAGCTCGTGCCTGGGATCCATCACAGTCTGTGAGAATAGCTCTGTCCAGGACAGAAAGGCTAGCTATTTGCAATCATCTCTAAAACCCATGGTTTTTGCATATTATTATTGTTCTTAATGTGGATGCCTACATACTGGGGAAAAAAAAACAATGCAAAACTACGACGCCATTGTTAGTGTGAAAACAATTGCATTCCCATCGAAAAATGGTACTATCTGTACATTTCCTTTTGAAATGGTTCCTGATAGTAGCTCATTTAACTCCCCCAAACCAGCCCTGAAGTTGCCCTAAATACCTTCGAGAACTAGACCAGTATTTTTTCACTTCCTTGCTCGTCCCCTTTTGCGCTCCGACTCCATTTGATACATGTTTCCCAGGACGTAGTGGAGCCTTCTGGCTAGAGATGCTGGAAAATCTAACTGAGTTTCCTGCAATCTCAGCTCCACTTTCTCCCAAGCGCCGGCCCCCGGCTGGAGCCTTGTTTTTGTCACATGTCCGCCGGGTCGCCCGCGGCCCGGGGAGCCAATGGGCGCGCGCCGGCCTCTCTGGGCCCCGCCTCGCGCCCTCGCCGCGCGGGGACTTGGCGCAGCAGCGAGGGGAGGAGGCGAAAAAGTTTCTTTTGCGGGGCAGAAAGGACTTGGGCGTGCGGCCGCTACTCCGGTTGCAACTCTACCGCACTGGGTCGTTCTTTTTGGTTTTCCTACGGGCCGCTGGCGAGCATGAAAGGGCTCCTCTGCTGGGAGTGAAAGAAGGAGTTTGCCAAGGAGCGCATTGCACGCGGCCGGGTCCCGGGAGTCCCAGCGGATTGGAAGTTTGTGCCGGGCCCGAGTGCACACCGGCTGCGGAGCACCGGGCAGAGCAGAGGCCGCCGGGCCGCCATGGGCACGCCGAGGTTCTGTGTGCCCGCCGCCGCGCTGGGGCTGCTGCTGGGCGCCCTGCTGGGGCGCGTGGGCCCAGCGCAAGGCAGCGGCCGCGGGGCAGTCGGGCAGCTCTCCGGGGTGATCGCCGAGCGCGCGTGCCCCTCTTCCTGCCGCTGCCTTGGAGATCTGCTGGACTGCAGTCGCCAGAGGCTGGTGCACCTTCCCGAGCCGCTGCCGCCCTGGGTCGTTCGGCTGTAAGTATTCTTCCCGGACCAAGGGGGAAATGGGCTACCCGCGCGCGATTCGGGCAAATCCGAGGGCCTGGCTGCTGAGGGATTGGCAGCACGGAGCTTCTTACGCGGCATCTCTCCTGGCCTTAACCACCAGGGACTCTCCGTGGAGGTGGAAAGAGCCTTGGTTTCCCTTCCGCGTGCCTTGCGGGCCGCGTAGGTGGGTGCTAGGCGTGCCCAGGCTGGCTGCAGGCTGGAGAAGGGGAGCGGGCACCTGGGAGTGCTTGGGACCTGGCTCCCTTGCCAGCGCTTTGAGCTAGCTACCGGCTTCAAACGCTCGCCGCTTCGCCGCCGAAGCGGGAGAGAGGGCAACCTGCAAAGCGGCTGGAGTTTGCGGTCCTTCCTGCCTTTGGGAGACTAGCTGAGGGCTCTACGTTACTTTCCAACTGATTCGGGCCCGCTTTCCCCGTTCCCGATCAGTGACTGAACAGGCTCCTTTCTTTTGGAAAGTACTTTGGCACGGTCTAGCCGCTGTTTCAACCAACGGTGGCATATTTGTGGGGGTTCTAACCGTCTGCTTGGTTTCTAACCTTCGGCTTGGTTTCTAATTAGACTAAAAATCCCGGATCCCTGCCCGACCGCTCCGTAACACATCCTTCTCCTGGCCAAAAGTTGATGGAGAGGAGTGATGAGTAGATCCAAAAAGAAAGGAACAGGGTTTTTCGGAACTCAGGATTGTGTGTTCTGTAGCTTCCCAGCGCTCACAGGGCCATCTGCTCTGATGCAAGTTTGGGGATTTTTAGCTGTGAAGTCTAAAGACTTGAAATCACGGCCAACTGCGTGAAAGAACAAGGGGGGAGGGGGAATTAAACAGCAGAGCTTGAAGTGTGGAGATCTTTGCCCGGGTTCAGACCCAGTTTGACTATGATTGAAGGTGTGCCATAAAATGTAACACGTAAGTTAAACCGAATTTTTAAAAAAATAGTCTCATTACAGTACAATTCATATCTTATGTTAGATTTAGGCCTAGCAACATGGCAGCGTACATTTTTCAGCTGTTAAGATGGTTCTGCTAGATTTTGCTAATGGTCGTGGTAGGCTTGGTTTTGTAGCTTAAGGAAACGTGTTTTTAAAATCATTCCGTGGAAGCAAATCTTTTCATTTGTCGTTGTAGAATTGTTAGCGTTCCAACAGCTCTAAGTGTGACTTGAACACAATAGTAGAAACGGGTCCTGAACTGGTACCTGAGCTTCTGTCCTGAGACGTCTTGTCTTCTTTAGTCGTTTTTATTACAATTGAAGAAGGAGATAAGGGGCTTTAAGGGAAAGCAGGAAGGCTTTCAATTAGTTGTGGCTAATTCTATTCAATTGCCTCTTGTGGAGGTCATGCTGCCTTATTCATGAACTGTGAATGGTTCTATTGACAACATATGGAACTGAACGTTTGAATGACTGGAGGTGAACACCTAGGAAATAATGGAGGGACTAGAAAGAAAGAGGTGGGCGGGTGGGGGAGCTTGCCGGGGTGTGTTATGAAATGTCCGGACCGTTCGTGGACTCTGGCAGTTGGGGTTCACACTTTCAGCTAGCTCATGGAGTCCTGCCAGTACGCGACATGTTCCTCGTGAAGTTAGACGTTTTTGAGAAAAGGACTGTGGACTCTTTGATTCGAAGCTGCATTGAACCAAGAGGGGTTCGCTGATACCTGTTTAAACATCGTCTTAAGAGTAGCTGACCTAATTAGGATTTTGTTTTGCAGATAATTTGGCGGCACACTCAAAACAAATTACAGTTTATTTGGTTAGCACAGTCTTTAATTACATTTCCGCCAGCAGTAAATTGTCTCAATACAAGTCCACATTCCTTGAATGTATGTGAAAATAAGTTCCACTTGTCTAAATAAGCACTCCGCCTGTTGTCAGAAGCCCCGCTGTGATCACTCATTCAACAGCTCTGTCATTCTTGTACTTCTGACCATCTTTGTAGGTGTCACCCAACCATGTGGTCCTAAGTTCTTTATTGTGTTGCTTTTGTTTGTGCCTAAAGCTCTAGGGGTCTCCACTCCCCCTCTGAAAGGAGCAGAAAACACTGGGAGTTGAGTTCTGCCTCCTCTGTTACTTGGTGTTTTGAAACTGAAGTGTGAGAAGCTGCTACTCAGATTTACATAATTAGCAAAGCTCTTAAGCAGGGTATTTCGGAGTTCAGAAATAAGTAGAAAAAAATGCGCCCCGTTCCCCCTCCACCTCATATCTGCCCCTTTTTTTCCTTAGATAAGAAAAAATGTGTCTTTGGATTAGTTTATGAAAGCACTTTTAAGAAAAAGTGCAGTGTCTTATCTTATGTTTGATTTGTTGAATTTGCAAGTTGGAAAAAAAATTCCATGCAGACATGCCTGTGTGGTTTTTTTTTTCCACGCTATTCCGGTTGTGATTTATTGCCATAGACACCTCAGGTGTGAAAGTTGAATAGTTTGAGCTGTAAAATAATAACATTGTATCCAGTTCTTTCAAAAAGTAACCTCTAACAGTCTAATGAAAGTACCTCTTAAAACAGTAACTATTTGAAGCCTTGCTTACAAGGCCTTTAAAGGGGGACTGGAGTTTACTTCTAGAGTTCTTGCTTGCGGAGTTCTGAAGTTCAAGAGGAATGCTTGTTAGACTATCCTTTAGCCAAAACAGGCAAAAGTTGCTCAGCTGCCAAGGAGCGCCTCAAATATTATTAAATTCTTGCTGGAATTTCAGACTTATTTATTTTATCACATAAAAAAATTGAGTTCGCAATGGGGCTTCAAGCAAAAGTCCGAAAGGTAATTTCTGCTGGTGTGGCTTCTTTAGTGTCGGCCTGTTATAAATCTTCTGGATCATTCCAGCATTTGAGGGGAGGCCTGGGGGGCAGGGATGGCCCTTATGGTTTTCACAGCTGTTTTTCTATATTTTCCAGACTAAAACATGAACATAGCAGGCTGATTTATGAGTCACTTTGGATCACTGTTTTAAAACAGCTACAGCCTGGCTTTTTTGTTTTTTGTTTTGTTTTCCAGCTTTTTTTCCAGATTTCTGCTGAATTAGCAGCTCTGCAGGCCCCAGTGGGATTGATTAAGAAGCTATGCTAGATTTGCATTTCAAAATTTGACTTGGAAGTCAGATTGCCAAATGCTGAAAGGAAGAAAATGATAGCTGAAACCAAATGTTGTCAATTAATTGTTCGCCTATAGATTGATTTCCTTGCAAATATGCAAATAGAGGCTTCTCTCTCCCATGTAAAAAGAGTTGATTTCCACAGATGTGGCCAGCTGAATTCTGGGTAGCCAGTTACCCCCTCCACTTTTGTCATTTATTAACTTCACTACAGAAGGTTTTTTTTTTTTTTTTTCTTTCACTTCTCTGGGGAAGATGTTCCTTAATGCAAATCTAAAAATTAAGAATCTGCCTTAACTGAATAGGTTATGTTCCGAGTTTAAGAAAACATGAACATTTGTACAACTTTCTTCGCTCTTTAATATCAAGAAGATTTAGGAAAGCGTCACATCCTTTAACTGGAAAGTAGTTATCTCTGAAATGTTAACCATATTTTTTAAATCTAAATTAAGGTACATTAAAAGTGTCATGGCTTTAAGTATTTGCAGTAAAAGTCATGGGTCATTTTCTTTTCCTTTTGTGTGTGTGTGTATTCTCCCACATATACTATGGTCTTAATAACACACACACACAAAACAAACTCAAGAATGAGAATGTGTTGCCAAAACTGGGTTACTTAAGCTTGCCAGCTCCCACTTCTGGATGAGCAAGGAGTGGTCCCCAGTTTGAGTGCTGGTGTCTGAAGGCAGTTACCCATCTTAAAGGACTTGTTGCAAGATCTCATCCCATCACTGGTTGAAAAGAGGTCAAGCATCCAATCTCATTTCTCCTGTAGTTGCCTTGTGAAATGATACAATGGAGTGAAGAGAGTGGTTTTTAGATTAGTTTTTTTTTTTTAATTAAAAGGAAAATCACCTGTAGATGTCAGATGGTTTCCTCCTTTCTGTGAAAATAGGAGACAGTAGGGGATACAGGCTCAATGTCTTTTAGGTGAGGCGGGTCCAGGGTCAAAGCGAGACTTTCTGTTGATGCAGGCCACCTCCCAGGTGAAGGGTGCTTGTTTTTAAGACCATGTGGGAAAGCTGTGGCTATCTGGGGTGCTCAAAGCATACAGGTTTTGTTTGAATCCTAACGTGAGCTGTTGGGCTCACGGTTTCCTTGATGAACTCCAGATGGACTTGAACTGGACTGTGAGGGAAAGTGTCTGGCTCCAGCCAGCATGGTGAGCATGCACAGTATTGGTTGTAATTGCAGGATTTTTATAGTTTAAAGACTGTGCCAGATTTTTTTTTTTTCATGTTATAACTCTACCAGAACAAACCTACTCGTGTCTGTTACTGTCTGGTAGGTCTTTAGACAAACATTTCAAATAAAATCTTTGCAGTTTTCTTTTTTTTCTCCAGGTGAAAGAGAAAAAAAAAATCTAGGTTTATTCTCTAAACAAAGCTGCAAGACTGAAATGATGTCTGATTTCTGATGATTACATAAGCAGCAGGTCACACTGCGCCTTCTCTGGGTGTAAGCTCTTGTTGATTCCTGGAGGCGGGCCAGGGCGGGGCGGAAGGACACCCATGCATATACCAAATGCAGAAGCATGCCATGATTTCATGCTTGCTCCGGTCAACTTACCTACACCTTTGGTTATTTAAAAACATTCATTTTAAATATTGCCCTAATTCATTTACTAAGGGTTAGGTAGCTTCTTTTGACTAGGGACATATAAGCCTGGTTGTTCGCCTGGTTCTCAGCCATCTCATTTTCATTATATCATTTTAAAGTCATGTATTGCCCAATATAGGCATGGTGAGCAAACCTATTGGACAGATTGTGTTTCATATTTCACATCTTCCATGGTGAGATTTTTTTTTTTAGCCTAGAGGATTGTGAATACAACAGTTCCTTATATTAAATAGGTATATCCTATGGAAATTGCTATTGAATTAGCTTGAGACTTTGAGCAACAAGCCACCCTGATTTGATTTGAATGGTGGAAGATGTCTGGACAGTCTTCTGCACTTTGTCAGATGGCTCATGTGGCTTAAATGGACGCATTTTGAGATGTTGCGAGTGCAAGAAGCCAGAGGATTCAGGCTGATTTCTACTTCCTGCAAACACCAACACTTACACTTTGAATAGCTGGGTTCCTTGATCCAAAGAAAAGGATGTGTGTGAAAAGCAGTTTCTCCTTTATTTGACTGCAGTAAGGAGATTGGTGCTTGCTGTTTTGATAATAAAGGGTTTTCTTTAGAAGCCTTGGGTTCGGCACCCTGCCTGTTGAGCTACCCGTTCCTAAGCCATGCTGTCATGTCAAGCAGGGAGTGACTGGGTGAGGGAAGGGGTGGGGAAGGCAAAGCTAAAGTCCCAGTTCACAAAAGATCTGTTCACCCTGTGCCAGAAAACAGCTCTTAAAATGTCTGTGGGCTCCAAGTGTTCCAATCTGCCAGTCTCTCCAACTAAGTTTGTCCCTGGCGTTTGCACTTTTTGACTTTGGCATTTTAGTTACCATCTTGTTCATGGACAGAATGGACCCGTTATTTCTCCTGTTGTCACTAGTGTGGCTAGAGATGACTCCAGCGTCCACTGTGGCTTGTTATATCACTAGGCAAGGTTTGTGACTTTAGAAAAACATAATTTTCTTTTGGTTTTCTTATAGGGACTTAAGTCACAACAGATTATCTTTCATCAAGGCAAGTTCCGTGAGTCACCTTCAAAGCCTTCAAGAAGTGTGAGTCTGAGCTATTTCCTATTTGGGTTCTGAATGCAGTGTAGTGTTACTATTCTTTACACTGTTCAACTGCAAAGAGCATTTGAACCGTAATACTTACTACTTTTCACTTGAAAGTTATCCTTGCACAATTTTCAAAGTGTTTGCCTCTGTAAGTTGCTGATTATCTAATCAATATTTTCTTCTCTTTTTTGGTACTTCCAGGAAACTGAACAACAATGAATTGGAGACATTTCCAAATCTGGGGCCAGTCTCAGAAAATATCACATTTCTCTCTTTGTAAGTGGATATTGGCAGAATTTTGTATTTGTTTGTAAGGCTGTGACCAGTACTGCCTCGAAGATCTTTGAAACAGAATTTGAGTGTTCCTTTCAGGATAGTATTAAGATGGGCCCTTCAAATTGATTACCCTGTTTCCAGGTTCCAATGTTGTTACAGCTGTATTCCAAATATTTTTATAACAACATGCTTTCTGATTGCTTTCACTGCAAAAAGATTCAGAGTACACACCTTCCTCCAAGGAGACGTGCATTTGATTTTATTCCGGAGACGAGGATGTTAATACTGGTGTTGCTTAGTGGTTGGCATGGGATCTGCGGATTACACGTTGTATAGCTCTTGGTGGTGAATGATCAGAGTGGCTTGGTGAGGAATGGTGGACTTCGTAAAAAGCCACTGGCGTATTCTCTTAGATATGGCGCCTGCAGGTTCAGCAACAGCAACTAAAAACATCAGCTTATACAACTAAATTAGTATGCGATTGAAGTCAGAAAAATCTCTGCATGTTCTTTTGCAAATAAAGGCTTTTGAATTCACTTGAAAATTATGTTGAATTTTCTGTATTTTGAAGCCAGATAACATATTTTGATATATGAACCAACAAAGCTTTTAGAATAGCTTTAACCTTTGGCATTTGCACGTACCATCTGGAAGCCCAAAGTTTAATTTCCCAAAATAGAGTAAGTTGCCACCTGAATCTTGAATAATTGAAAAATATCTGTAAGCTGCTGCAGAAAAAAAAAAAAGTATTTTCTTTTTTAAAACAACTTTAGACACAGAATCCACCCTTGCTAGTTGCTTTTGGGAAAGGTGCTGGGAAAGTTGAAATCATACAGTGAATTTCAGAAAAGCTGTTCAATTAATTAAAGTGATCGCTATCCAATTGCTTACATCTGGTGATTTATAGAGGTTTGTTTTTACTGAGGGCTCAGGGCAGCCAAGTCACGGGTGCAGCCGCCCTGTCTGCTTTTCTCTGTTCTAAGTGACATTTGATACTGATGTGGTTTTTCCAAAGTTCTGAAACAGAAAGGAATGAAAGAGAAAAGCAGTTGGTATTCGGCAAATAAACACTGAATTTAAGAAATGTTTTCATGCTGGCATTAATACCTCATTTCTTTGTCTTTCACAATTGCTGAGCCTGTGAGAGTTTAAATGGAATACTGGCTTCGGTATCCTAAACATCTCTTGCTTTTCTTGTTTGACCAATGGGGCCTGGTAAAATCTATCCTACTTGGCTGTACTGTCGTTGTCCAATGTCTTGGTAGATTCCTTCTGCATGTCCAAGAGAGCTTTGCGGGTCACGGATGTCAGAGAGGATGTGGGGGGTCTGGCAGTGTGAATCTGGAATCTGGGTGGGGAGGGAGAAGAGTTTGTTCTTTGGCTCTGGTAGGGAGTTGGCGGCGTAAGAACGTGTGGGGAAGTTAGAAACTTCTATTGGAAATAAGTAATCCGGTGATTGTACCCTTGCAAGCCATACCTTGTCATTAGGCAGCGAGAGGGACGTTTGGGAACGTAAAGAGCTTCAGCATTTGGACTCCTCTCCATGCAGCGCCGTGCGTCAGATCAGCCTGAGTCATTTCGCTTTCTTTCCCCCTTAATTTGTTGCAGTACATCTGACTGGTGACTGCTTTGTACACCTCATGTAATGATAGATCCGATTTATTACCTAGATTACAGAGACTCTGTAAAGAATAATTTATGCGTGGGGCTGGCTAATTCAGTAGGGAGAGTGAAAAACATTTTCAAACCCAGAAAAGAGCTTGAAAAAAAAAATGCGCCTCTTTCTGTTTTGTTTCAGCGATGTTTGATTTTGTCCTGTAAACTTCCTCGGCTCTTCATTTCTGGTACTGTGCGTCTGTGTGTGGCGTTGTGTAGAGCGGAGCTGCTTCTGCTCCACAGAAGCCAGTGGATGATCAGAGCTAAAGCACACATCCCTGTGATTTCAAAAAGAATCTGTTAAACCACATGACCTGGCTCAGAAACTTGCTTCAGTACCGCAAGTGTCTTTCAAAATAGTTCTCAGGATGCCTCCACTTAATGTTATCAAGGGTTTTCTTCTCTTTTTTTGTAAGCTAAATTTTGTGGAAGAAAACTTTTTTCTTTGTGATCTGTACCAGTTGAACAATTTGAAAACCATTTTAAGGACAAGGAGTGTAAGTTGGAGTCTTAAGCCTGAGATACAGTAGTAATGTCTTGTGTTGTTGCTGTTCTGTGCCAGCCACCGGGGCTGGGTGAAGGTTGCGCACAACCTCCTCTTGTAAATATCTTACCCAAGAAACTCGTATCGGGCCAGTAGCGTTCCATGTCCAAAGACGACTTCCGTAAGAGACTGCTTCTGATGACGCCAGGGAATCCTGCTAGATTGTCCAGTTCTGGGGGCAGTGGGTACAAGTGCATTGGTGAAATTCATTTCTGACAATTTTAGGTTCCGTTGGAATGCCCGAATGCTAAATAGAGCTTTTTTTTTTTTTTGAGTTCTGCATAGAGCAAGCTAAGAAGTTAGCTCGCATGAAGAGGCAGAGCATGGTTTCATTGTGTGTTTTGAAGCTTTCTTTGACAATTTCCTAGCTCTTTCTGGGTGGTGTATTTTTAAGAGAACAAATGGAATGACCTTTGAAATGTACACGTCTTACAGGAAAACTATTGACCTTGCCTAAGCGAGCTGAATTTCCTGGATATGCTGGTTCTGATTTTATGTGCGTGATATGACATGATCTGCTTAAGCTGGTTTTTTCTTTTTAACCTTTGACCTACATTAGGGAATATTTGAATCCCTGAGTGATGCAACAGTATAGTTAAAAAGAGACCTTATTAGTTATTTCATAGAGCTAGTTGTGTTTTAGTCTTGATGCTGGTTGTTTGTTTATATTGTGCTGCCCAACGTGCAGATAGATGCCTGCTTGATGACGTATAGCTGGAAAAAGTGTGAGGCCAATGGCTGTCCTGACTCTATACCCAGAAATTGCATGTTCATGGGGCTGGCTGAGCCCAGGAGTATCCATTTTGAACACTACACTTCACCAGTGCTAACCAGATATTACGTACAGATCTCTGGAACCAGTGATAGGCTGGGGATCATAATCAGGTAAGCCATTCTCTTATTTCTGACATTAAAGGTTAGACCATTTCTCCCCAAACCATCATTCTCTGTATAGGCTGTCATTCTACTGAGAATGACTTTGGTCATCCTCACAGAGAAGTTATTAGTACCATTCTCCATTTTTACTAGTGATTTCTGCCCCACCCCCACCCCGTGTACTCTATCTGTGAGAAGCTGTTGAGAAGACTGAAAGGTGAGATTTGGTATTCAAAACTGTTCCTCTGGCTTTAGCATCGAGAATGGGGGTGGCAGCTCATAAGACCCTCGGGCCAGTCCAGCAGCAATGGGGGTCCTGTTTGGTAGGGCAGCTTCGGTCATGTCAGAAGAGAGATGAAAAGCAAAACCCAAGGCATGCTGTGTGAAACTGATGGCTGGTTGCAGCTTTTCCTCAGCCTGTGGCTGTGGACGAGATACTGTCTGTCTGAGTTTGCACTCCTCTGAAGTGGGGATAGGGAGTACCTAACATACAGGGTGACCGTGAGGAATGGGAGAGAGAGTACAGCTAACACTGACACACACTGGGTGCTCTGTGGACAGGATTCCATAGGATGCTGATGAAGATGGCAGGGATTCATTCATCTGCCTTCTGTTGAATACCTAAATACCTAACAAGTGCCAAGTTCTTGTTTCAAGTGCAGACGACACTGGAGTGTTGTCATTTCCTTTTTTTTTTTTTAATCATGAATTTTGCATTCTAGTGCCCAGGAGAGAAAAGACTAGATAAGTTGATAGACTCTGAAAGATAACTTGAGTTAACGATGAATACTGCAAAGGGAAAGAAAGGAGGTTGAAAGGGTTGGGGAGTGCTGGCCTTTGTCTTTTACTGTGTGTGGGCAGGTGACTATTTTCCAAATCTTCTTGTACTCTGAGTGCTGTTGTAGGATTCGGACCCAGCGTGAACCAAACAGGCCTCTCTGCCCTCATAGAGCCAACCTTCCTATAGAGGAGACAGACAGAAGGCAATGAGAGCCGTTGTCATAAAGGGGCACGTTCCAGGCGTATGTGCAGGTGTACAGCATGGAGTTAGTGCTTAGTGTTTGACGTAAGAAATAGTTGTAGAATACTTACATGCACTTGGCAGTATTTAGACAGATGTTCTCATTAATCTACATCAGTTTCTTAGACTAAACCCAAGTCACTGAAGATGGACAGTGGAGAGAACGTATTTGTGTTATACTTAACCTATGGTCAGCTATGGCCACCTGGTAAAATGATAGTAATAAAAGATTATAACAGCCGTAATAATTGAAAGGGAAAGAAAGAACAAGAGAAAGAATTAAAGATCTAGCTTGCCACTCCACAGGCAGTGTGCATATCCTGGAGTATCCATGCATGGCGAGGAGAATAAAAGCCCTTTTCCATGTGCCTGAGGCTGAGCATCTCAGCCCACAGAGGTGACTTTGGGATTCAGAGCTAGAGATTTTATTTTTGTTTGTTTGGACAAACGTTAATGCCAGGCACAAGTACTTCATGAGGTCCTAACCCCAAAACTGCAAATACAGAATCCAATCAGTGAGAGAGCACCCACTGCCGCTAACAGACTCGACGTGTTCCCACTCCGAAGGACCAAGCAAGGTCAGAGAGCAGTCTGCCAAGAGGACTTGCTGGTTGTTCTCAGGGATATCAAGGGCGACTTTCCCCTCTGCCTGGCAGTCCTGAGACCCTGTGCCCAGTGAGAGCTGAGATCCAGTTCCATCAGACCATGACCGCTCCCATCTCAGAGGAATTTGGGGAAACAGGAAAATGATATGTTTATGCCCCTCACTCAGGGTGGGAAACAGTGTGGGCAGTTCGAGTGCCATGAATGTGTAGTTACTGTCAAACTTGGTGAAGGACAGTGGCGTTGTCTTCCGGGTTTGCAACTCCCTGTGGTACAGCGTGAGCAGTCTCTGGTGGCATC